CCCCTCCACTACCTGCATATACATATTTTCTAATAAAACGAAAATGGAACGAATTACAAAGAAACCAACATGACTTTCATTGCATAATTCGCTGGTGGCCTTCACATTGATGTGACCACTTTTTTTTCGATTGATTTTTACGGAGTTACGCGTATATGATTTTATTTATTCACGAACAAGATTATTGTGGCGGAGAATCACTCCGTCAAGTTGGCCAACCTATTTGAGTGGATAGTGGAGTAGTGCGCATGTGCGTGAGTGAGGCATTCTGGGTATTCTCTGCTCTTGCCTAGCAACCAAGATGGCAGCGCGTCTCCCTGACAACCACGACGCTGTAAACGAGGTGAATTTTGAGGCAAATATGGTAAGTGTTTAGTATTTTGATAAATTATCCGGTGTGAATAAACATTATTTTCACAATATTTCTCCCCATTCTTCACAGTTTCCCCCCTTCTCAGAGTCTCTTAATGCATTGAACTTTATCATCGGCTCACGTGGTATTTCTAGGTTATTTCTAATGACAACAAATCTCAACCTCATAATGAACCGGAAAAAATTATCGTATCTCGTGGAATAAAATATTATGGAACACTGGTTACATTAATTTTTCAGATTTTCTTCTCTTTTAATTAAATTCAGTGGGAGTCATTTATTATTTCTCCAATTAAGTTCAGTGGAATTTTTTGTTTAATCAAATCCAGTGAGAATTCGAATGTCAGTGTTTGACATTCTTCAATACCGACAGGGTCTATCTATATAATTGATTATTGCATAATGCAGTATCTTAATTATACGCACAACAAGTTAAACATTTACAAGTTTGAATTGTACAATCTGAAATTCAGACTGAACAATGTGTGATTGGAATGATTCATTGAAATTTAGTAGAATTTATCATGTTCATGTGTAGGTAAATTCATTTAGTACAATTTATTATTTGTCTCAGGACGACATAGACCAAGGAGCATGGGTACCCCCACCACCCCCATCCCTACCACCGCCACCACCACCGATGCCTGACCAACTACAGCCTGAGCAGCCGCAGGCCCACGAGAAGAGGGTGCAGCATAGAAGCGTGCGCAGCCACAGGCACTAGGGCAGAACCCTCCACAAACGCCTGAAGAGCCACAGCCTCGACAGCAATCAGCCCAACTTCTTTTGGAGACCCGGGGACGTCTCATCGCCAATCTCCAGGACAGGATGGACTTGCTCCAGGAATTGGTTCAAAACCAAGGTGATCCTGGAGCCGGAAGGGACAGAGGAGTGGGGGCTCGTGAGATTCCAGGAGGAGGCAGAGAGAATGAAGACCGAGATCTAGGGAGGAATGGAGGGGGTAACCCAGGAGGAGGTAGAGGGAATGGAGAACGAGATCCCGGGAGGAATGGTGGACGGAACGCAGGAGGAGGTGGAGGAAATCGAGGGAGGAATGGAGTAGGGAACCTAAGAGGGAGTGGAGGGAATCGAGGATGGAACCCAGCAGGAGGTGGAGGGAACGCAGGAGGAAATGGTGGAGGATGGAGGGTCGACAGAGGAGGAAATCGAGAAAGGCATGGAGGAGGGAACGGAGGAGGAAATGGTGGAGGATGGAGAGTGAACAGAGAAGGAAATCGAGGAAGGAACGAAGGAGAAGCTGAAGGTCGTGGAGAGCAACGAGACAGGAGAGGACGCGCTGGACGAAACCTCGACCGTCACCATCCCATGTTAGTATTAAAAAGAATATTGAAGGACCGGATAAATCATCTTCTTCACCTTACCTCGATTGTTTTCCCATGTTCGTAATCTAATGTCTTCCGCAATTTCTATTTTAATTTCAAATCCCTTAGAAATCCCTAAAAATTACGATTGTAGAATCGAATATTTTTTTTTTCAATTAGTATTTCGGAAGAGCTTTTTTTTAAAATAAAATGTAGGGAATAGGTCAAATGGGGAGAAAGTTGCAAATGGATACTTCATCTTGGCAACTGATGATCTGACTGCGATTGTCTACGGTGAGATATCAATTCACAATTTCCTCCCTTTTGGATTTATTTCCCAATGCTATCAAAAGAAGCTCTTTTTTAGTTTTTCTCTACTTCTCTTCTTAATTGTACAATCGTAATTGTTCGGAACTTCAAAATATTCGAGAATGTTTTAGATTATCGAAATGAAAAAACCATTGAGATCATGTTCAAGAAATAATGCCACGACCCATTCCTTTTACCTTTTTATTAGTTTTGGACAGATTCCATTAAAAAATTCTTCAGCTTATCTGTGAATTTTCTACCAATAGAATTGTTCAATGGAAAATATGCTGCAGGAAAAACCAAAAGTAGTCGATTTCTTCATACAATTCATTCTATTGAATTTTTTTTTTTGGAAATTCCTCGCCTTAAATTTTTTGAGCTTTCTTGTTTGATTATTTTCTTGAAGATAGGGGAAAAATCAAGTGGAAAAAATTTGAAGAGTCAATGTCAAAGAATCCCCATCGAAAATGTCTCAGTGACAAAAGATATATGAAAGGAAGAAATTCTACTGATTTTTTCTATGAAAGAGTTTCTATTGGACATCTTCTATAAGACTTGATTTTACATCATGTAGGAATCCCTGAAAATTATGATTGTATGCTCAAAAAATCTTGACATTCTTAAAGAGATTTTTTCATAAAAATTGGGAAGTAAGTTCAATAGGGAGAAAGTTGGGAATCGATAATCTATCATGACAAATGATGATCTAACAGCAATCAAATACGGTAAATTATTGATTTGCAATTTCTTCCCTTTTGGATTTATTGCCTGGTATCATGAAAAAAACGCTCATTGAAGATTGTCTGCTTTTTCTACTTAATTTCTATTATACGATTATAATTCTTTATGACTCCAACTATATGTACAACTGAATCGCAATTGGAAAATATTTTAGATTATCAAAATGGAAGAAATGGAAGGAAGAAACAATCGAACTCATGTACATAAACATAATACCACGTACGAAACAATTTCACAGAAGAAACTAATGAATTAGTGGGAAAATGCTATTGGAATGCCGTTGAATTCTGCAGCTTATCTGCACTTTTTTTTTCAAGAGGAAAGTTCAATGCAAAATATTTTAGAGGGAAAATCAATAGAATTCGATTTTTATATGCAACTCATTCTAGTGAGATATTTACTTTGGAAATTCCTCGACTCTAATTTTTCAAGTTTTTTTGTTCGATTTTTCTATTGCAGAGTAGAAAAACCGAATGGAAATAAATTGAAAAATTCATGTCGAAGGATTCCTACACAAAATATCTCGACAGAAAAAAATATTTCTAAAAAAGATGAAATTTTACTGATTTGTTCTTTCAAAGAAAAACACAAAGTACACCTCGTAATCCTTAAGAAAACAGTCAATAGTTATTATAATTTTCAACAATAGAAGTTCAGTAGAATTTCAAAAGAACTTCCTATCGAATTCTCCAGATTTTTCGACAAAATTTTTTCGTGTGTGACACTAGGGTCTCAATTAAAACAAAACGAGTCTTTTCAATTCTGAGTCAAGTTTTACCTAAATATCTCTGAATTTGATGAAGATAGTGAAAATTCCATCAGAATCTCCTTTGTAGCTGATATTATCCTGTATAATAAAGATCCTGATGAGAACTCTCCCATTTCCTTTGAATTCTGAGATGCTCTTCAAAAAACAGGTTGTGAAAAAAATAGTCTGCAACTTATTTCGTTTGCCAGTTTACAGTTGATTTTGATTCTCTTTAATGCGCCTCAAACTCACACTTTTTTAGCCTTCGATACTGTTCGGTTTTCCACCGAATTGATTTCCTCATACACACGCACACTCACGCACACTCGCTCCTCTCGCACGCTTGCATGGCTTTTCATGACTGACCTGCGCAACCGACTTAACCGACCAGTGGCCTCTCACCTCTGACACCTGAGGCGCCCCTTGATGGACAGTTGTCCAGTGAACGCCCCCATTTAAATTGGGGCACGTTTGGACCCTCGATGATCGACACCTGCCACCTTGCGGTCCTTTAATCGGCCACATTTGCATTTCGGCCATCGGACAGTGCTTTAACTTTCTCCGAACCGCTCTATTGTTTGTACGGATTTCCGCGTATAATTACTCTGCGTCATAAGTTCTGTGAACTATCTAATAATATTGTGACCCGCGCTACTTGTTTGGAATTCTCTAGTTAATCAAAGCTAACACGTGTAAATAATTGACTTTATTTAATAATTAAATTGACTTTTGTGACCAACGTGCACGTGTAGTGATTTGTGGACCTTCTCCCGCTCCCGCTAGAATCCGTTTTTATCTCGCCCATCGCTCATAAATTTCACAGATCACAGACCCGATCATCGACCATTGTGGTCCTTTGAGCCGGATGCGTGGAATATTTTTCGGCTTTTCGGTCTTTTTGAGTGTTTTTCAACGGGACTGAAAAACTGGCAGCGGCCACTCAGTGATGCTCATCGCTCGGCTCCATGAATTTGAATCTGGTGGACGCGAAGGGTGCTCAACCAGTTCTTCTCACATCACGTCAGGGACCTGCGATACCGGCCAGGCGAGAAATTTAAACTGACCACGCTGTCTAAAGGGAAGTTTGCACTGCTATTTCTCCTTTATTGATTTTTTTTTGGATTTCTCGTGCCTGGAACCAGCTGGACCTGCGTCGGCGATTTACTTTATCTGATTTTTTGTTTTTTTTTTTGAACATTCGAAATTCTTCAGAATTATTTTCGAGAGGTCATTATTTTTGAGCCCTTCGTTTTTTTTTTGATCATCGGACCTGCGCTTACGGTTTCCGTGTGTTTTTGAACGGCTCTTTCTAAAGGAATAAAACCGATTTTAATTTCGGGTTACGACCTGCGTTATTGGCTCTTTTGTTGCTTTGGCCTGCTCGTCTCTCGAAAGATTCGCTTTCTCGGTGCCGACTGTTATTATTATTATTATTGCTCGAGTTATTTGATTTCTCCGTTGAACTTTTTCACTTTTCGTCTCACCAACGTTAACTTCTTCCCGTTAGTATGGCAGCTCTTGACGCAACGATCACGCTTCAAATGACTCGAGCAGCGTTTATCGAGGAAACATGTAATGAAGCAAAGGGGGATAGCGCGAAGCAGCTTGGACTATCTGCGCTGGAGTCCAAGTTGTCGCTGCTTGAAAAATATTGGGACAAGCTTGAGTCCACTCATGAGAAGCTCGTAGCTGGTGGTTTGAAGATGGAGGGTTTATTGGAGCTCTCGTATTTCAAGAATCAGGTTTTTGACCAAGCGCTGATGAGATATGCGACAGCTAAGACCGCGATCACGCAACTGATGGAGAATAAGGGTGGTCCTAACCTCAATCAGACCATGCGCGGAGGTCAAACTGAAGGTCATTCGTCCAGCTCGACACGTAGGGTGCTTTCAGAGATCGAACTGCCTAAGTTCTCTGGAGTTTATAGAGAGTGGAGGCCATGGCGCGACTTATTCTACTCTCTGGTCGGGAATAACCCTGACATTCCGGGAGTTGAGCGCATGCACTACGTTCGGCTCTCTCTTTCTAGCGAACTACTGAAGTTGATTTCGAATTTGCCCGTCTCGGAGGAATCATTCTCGATAGCTTGAGGAATCCTCACGAAAAGGTACGAGGACCAACGTTTGCTAGTTTCAGCTCATTCAGACCAGCTTCTGCATCCGCCTTCGATGTCGTCTCACAGCGCCACGGAGCTCAATTTGTTGACCAGCTCAGTCTCTGAAGCACTTAGCACACTCAAAGCTCTGGGACAACCTACTGATCAGTGGGGTCCAGTGGTTGTCCATGTCATTGCCCATCAACTTTCTAACAAGCTTCGAGAGGCGTGGGAGAACAAAATCGGGGCCTCATCGGAGTATCCTTCTCTGGAACAGCTCGCTGAGCTTCTACAAGGTCGCTCCAGGGCAATGGAAACTTTAGAAGTTGGGTCTAGTTCTTACAACTCAAGCTCAACGAAATCTTCATAGCCCAGCGTACAGTTTCGTCCTGCGTCGAAGTCCAGCGGCAAGGTCAACGCAGTGACTTCCAATCGGCCAGCTTCCCAGGCGTCTCAGCAGCCTCAAGGCCCAGCGCGCAAACTACAGTCCACTCCAACTCAATGATGGGCTGAGGCGGGCAGGTATCCCTGTTCATACTGCAAGGGAGAGCATTACATCGCCTCTTGCCGTCAGTTCAAGAATCTTGCGCCAGCTGGTCGAAAGCAAGTCGTGGATCGTCTCTATCTGTGCTTCAACTGTTTGGAGAAGCACAGCATCAGGGTCTGTCAGACCACTCGTAAGTGCTTCCAATACCAGGAGAGGCACCATATCCTGCTGCATTTGGATCGCTCTCGTCGTCCAGCTCAACGTGATCCAGCATCTCAAGTTCCTCTCAATGATGCAGGATCTCAGCACCCGAGTACTTCCGCTCCATTGACCAGCGTGCCTGTCGTAACGTACACTCACACCGGTGATTCTCCTCAGGCTACATCTTCAGCTCATCCTCAAGCCTGAAGCGGACCGTCCCAAGCGTCGATTTCTTGTTCGGCCCACAGTTGTTCTGCGCAAACCTCTCGGCCTGGAGTCCTTCTCGCAACTTGTTTAGCTCTTCTCGTCAGCGATTATTGCCCTCCGCATCAAGTTCGACTCTTGTTGGATTTAGGCTCCGACCTCTCGCTCATCTCAGATAAGTTAGTTCGGAAGTTAAATTTAAAGAAAACTCGTAGTTCCATCCACATTACAGGAGTGGGAGGGACAACGTCCGGCGAAGTACATCTCACGCTACAATCGATCCACTCAGAAGAACGCATTGAAGTTACAGCTCACTCTCTTGATCGTCTCACCTCAACGCTACCGTCCTTCTCAGCAGAGGGCCTTAAGTGGGATCATATCGACGGTTTAGAGCTTGCTGATCCTCATTTCCGAGTCTCTGCACCAATTGACCTTCTCGTCGGTACTGATGTTTTTGGTCAGGTCATTAAGCCCAACGTGATTAGAGGAGGGGTTTCAGGCTCCAGTCGCTCAACTCACCAGCTTTGGCTGGATTGTTTACGGACCAGCGGGACCTGACCAACCAGCATCTTTCTCTTCTCATCACCTCAGCGTATCGAATGACGAGCTCAACGACCTTCTCACCAAGTTTTGGGTTCAGGAGGAAATTCCTGGGCGCATTGACGCGAATCTCTCACCGGAAGAATTGGAGTGTGAACACCACTTCCGTCAGACTCACTCAAGGGATAGCTCAGGTCGATGTGTCGTTCGTTTGCCCTTCTCAGCTCCAGTTTCGTCATTAGGGAATTCCTATCGTCCAGCGCTAGCTTGTCTCCATCGGATGCTCGGTAGAATCTCAAAAGATCCGCTCTTTCTCCAGCTCTACTCTGAATTTCTCAAGAGATACGAAGATCTCGACCATATGAGATTAGTAACTCGCTCAATCCATCGCTCTTCGTCTTCGGTTCAGGCGGAAACCGCTTGTCGTTCTGACGAGATGACCTTAGCACATGAAGCGCAAGCTTCAGAAGGGTTGAGGATCTCTGAAGGGCTTCAGGTAGGGCCGTCTGATGCTCACAGGAGTTACTATTTACCTCATCATGGTGTAGTTAGAGAGAGCAGTGAAACGACGAAACTGAGAGTAGTGTTCAACGGATCAGCGAAGACCAGCTCAGGGAATTCACTCAGCAACATTTTCCACACAGGAGCCAAGTTGCAGAAAGATATCTCGGACGTGCTGCTCTGGTCAAGACAGCACAAAGTCATCTTCATGACGGACATCACCTAGATGTTCGGTCAGATCAGAGTTCACGACGATGACTGGTCCCTGCAGCAGATTTTATAGACCAACTCAAGTGGAGAACTCGTCACGTATCAACTGACAACAATCACATACGGCACAAGATCAGCTCCGTTTCTAGCAAACCGTGTTCTTCTTCAGCTGGCTGAGGATGAAGGACATCAGTTCCCTTTGGCCGTCTTGCTCATCGTGAAAGGAAGATACGTTGACGACATCTGTGGAGGTGCAGACACGCATGAGCAACTCGTTAGGACCGCTCAAGAATTTCGTGAGCTCTGTACTGCTGGAGGAATACCTCTGACAAAATGGCATAGTAATAGTCCAGCGTTACTCCAGTGGCTCGCTCCTGATAGTGCCGTCAATGACCAGCAAGTTTATGAGGATTCGGAGACCCGGATTCTTGGTTTGTCGTGGCAGCCTAGCTCGGATAACTTCGTCTTCTCAAGTCGGACCAGCGATGAATCGAAGGTCTCTAAGAGGAACATTCTCTCAGAGATCGCTCAGATATATGACCCGCTCGGATTTCTATCTCCTGTCGTGATCAGAGGGAAACTGCTCATTCAGGAGACTTGGATTCATAAGCTCGGTTGGGATGAGGAAGTCCTAGAACAAGTAGCTCAGCGTTGGAAAAGTTTTCGGAATGATCTCACTCTGCTCTCGAAGTTATCTGTTTCAATATGGTTAGGCCTGCTCCAGAATTCGTCGATTGAAATCCATGGATTCTCAGATGTTTCTGTTCTTGCGATGTCAGCCGTAGTCTATCTCAAAGTCTTTAATGGAGATGAAGAGCCTCGGATTTTTTTAGTCTGCGCGAAAACGAAAGTAGCCCCTCTCAAACGGCTGACAATCCCAAGGCTAGAGCTCACAGCTGCGGTTATGCTTGCCAAACTCGTAAAGTACGTGAAAGAAGAGCTCAATCTCTCGAACGCTCCGACGCTCATGTGGACCGACTCATCAGTTATGCTTACGTGGATCCACTCGCATCCGTCCAGATGGAAGAAATTCGTAAGGAATCGTGTCCAGCTCATACAAAAGATCTCGCAAGCTTAATGGGGCCTCGTTCCTGGCAAGGAAAACCCAGCTGATTGCGCATCTCGTGGGCTCACCACAGCTCAACTCTCTTTACATGAACTCTGGTGGCACGGACCACCATGGCTCATGAAAAGCTCATCGTCTTGGCCATCTCTAGAGCTCGCTTCAGTGGCATCAGCAGATCTCGAAGAGTCAAATGTCATTCTCAACGAGAAGGTCCAGCGCCCAGAGGTCTGGGATTTAGTTCACCGCTATTCTTCACTCAACAAATTGCTTCGAATTACGGCCATCTTCCAATGCGTCATTGTTCATCTCAGAAGAATTCCTGGATCATCCAGGCATCGTTAGCAATAGCTCTAAACCCTGGTGACATTGAGCAAGCCCGACTGCTCTGGATTAAGCTCACTCAGTCTGCGCACTTCTCAGCTGAGCTTAAGACCTTGTCGAGAGGGCAACGTCTTAGTTCATCTCACTCACTCACTCGATTGACAGCGTTCCTGGATCACCGGGGAGTTCTACGCGTTGGAGGGCGCCTGAAATTTGCTCAGCTCGACTGCGAAAATAAGCATCAGATCATCGTACCTCAGGATTCTCAGTTCGCTCAGCTCATCATTCGAGATGCCTATCTCAGAACTCTGCATGAAGGAACGCAGCTCACTCTCGGTCAACTCAGAAGGTCTTACTGGATCCTCGGTGGAAGAACCCCGGTAAGATCATTCATCCTGAAGTGCGTTCCATGCGCCAGACAGCGAGGGATCAGAGCTCGACAACTCATGGGCCAGCTCCCAGTTGCTCGTCTCACCCGTGGCCGAGCGTTCCTCAACACTGGAGTTGACTACGCCGAACCAGTGTCGCTCCACTCATGGAAAGGGCGTGGTCATAAGTCGTACAAGGGATGGATCGCAATTTTCGTCTGCATGACCACGTCCGCAGTCCATATTGAGGTCATCTCAGATTACGCAGCTGATGGATTCATCGTTGCGTATCGTCGCTTTGTTGCCCGACGTGGACTCTGCAAGAACTTGTTCTCAGATTGCGGAACGAACTTCTTGGGAGCCGACAAGGAACTGAAGAAGCTCTTCTCAATGGCGTCTAAGGAATCGGACAACTAGCCCAGCTCCTGCTCAGCGATGGTACCAGATGGTCTTTCAACCCTCCAGGTGCACCACACTTTCGAGGCAAATGGGAAGCCGCGGTAAAGTCGGTGAAGTTCCATCTCAAACGAACGATCGGCGATGCCCTATTTAACTACGAGGAACTCACTACTTTACTCGTGCAAATCGAAGCTGGGCTCAATTCGTGACCGCTGGAACTACTATCAGAAGATCCTGATGACGTCAGCGCACTCACACCAGGTCATTACCTGATTGGCCAGGCCTTGACCTCGGTTCCTGACCCTTCGCTGGAGCATTTGAACGTCACTCGTCTATCTCGTTGGCAGCTCACCCAGCAGAAGGTTCAGTACTTCTGGAAGCGGTGATCCACTAGCTACCTTCAGTATCTACAGTCCATCTCTAAGTGGCACCACCCATCTCACGACATTAGAATTAGTTCCATAGTCCTTCTCACCGACGAGAGATTCCCACCAACGAAGTGGCTTCTCGCTCGAGTCATCGCTCTCCACCCTGGTAGAGATGGACTCGCCAGGGTGGTCACCATCAAGACGTCCAGCTCTACGCTTCAGAGGCCCATCTCCAAACTGGCTCTACTGCCCATCTCGACCAACGATGCCTAAGACCTTCTCGTCCTGTGTTTGCCCATCTCAACAACTGGAGTCGTCTTCAACTTCATTCTCGACCAGACCTAGGCGAAGATTTACGACCTTCGTCTTCGAACCTGGCCGCTGCGTGGAAGCGGGTATGCCGAGGTCTGCGGAATATACGCCTCCAACGATCTTGGGTGTACTCGCACCTTGACCATCGCAGATGAACTCCAGTGGTGAAGTCGCTCTTCGAAAAATTATTGTCCTGAGCACGATTAATCTCTTTTTTGTTACAGAATTGCGCAAAGAGGTATCAGCGCCTGCTGACGGCGGGGGAGAATGTTCGGTTTTCCACCGAATTGTTTTCCTCACACACGCACACACTCACGCACACTCGCTCCTCTCGCATGCTTGCATGGCTTTTCATGACTGACCTGCGCAACCGACTTAACCGACCAGTGGCCTCTCACCTCTGATACCTGAGGCGCCCCTTGATGGAGAGGTGTCCAGTGAACGCCCCCATTTAAATTGAGGCACGTTTGGACCCTCGATGATCGACACCTGCCACCTTGCGGTCCTTTAATCGGCCTCATTTGCATTTCGGCCATCGGACAGTGTGGTTTAACTTTCTCCGAACCGCTCTATTGTTTGTACGGATTTCTGCGTACAATTGCTATGCGTCATAAGTTCTGTGAACTATCTAATAATATTGTGACTCGCGCTACTTGTTTGAACTTCTCTAGTTAATCAAAGCTAACACGTGTAAATAATTGACTTTATTTAATAATTAAATTGACTTTAGTGATCAACGTGCACGTGTAGTGATCTGTGGACCTTCTCCCGCTTCCGTTAGAATCCGTTTTTATTTCGCCCATCGTTCATAAATTTCACAGATCTCAGACCCGGCATCGAACTGATACACTCAACAACCTTCAATTCATTCTAACACCCTATCAATATTCTCCCCTTTAGTTACTGGAGGAACAGGTTCTACGGGAGGAGTGACGGTGGATCCAGAGGAGGGGGTGGTTCGGGCCCTACCATCAATCACTTCTACAAGTGATGACTTCCATCTTCTCCTCCCAAAAGAAGCATGCACTTTTCTCTTATCATTTTCTGATTCGTTAATAATGAATCAATACGCTGAGATGATAGAATAATTGAACTCTGTAAAATATTTTTGGGTCATTTATTTTCTTGAGATAAATCATTTTTATTCAAATTCATTTTTGAAGGCTAAATTCGTCGTCTCAAGTAAAAAATCACTCAACAACTTTTTTTATCGGGGTCAACACTTGATTCTTAGGGTGATTCATTATTGACAAATTTCTTCCATGATCAGAAGATTCAAAAACCTCTTCAAGGCTCTCTCTATCTGCAGTCAATGTCCCCCTATTTCTCTTAAATATTTAAGAAGGCATGATTTCATGTCATATTCATTTTCATATAGGAATCATCATCAGTAACGGAATATTTACGTGGTTTTTCTTTTTTCAGTCTTCTTCCCGATGACTCAGAGAGAGGTTCTTCTCGAAACACCTTATGGTGTACTTTAGAAGAGTGACTGTCAAATAATGATTGCTCATTGGAACAAACAATAATTCACGTGGTATTTTTTGTATTTTTTTCAGGGCGTGCTCCCAGGTTCTGAATGGGACTCCTTATCAAAATTTGACTCCGTTTGACATACTAATGGCATTCTCAATTTATAACTATTAAGTCGAATGTTCTAACGAACCAACAAAATGTACTTTTGAAATTTATCACATAAAAGGTAACGCTGAAGAAACTTATGTACTTTTTATTATAATTTTGAATTTATTACAATAAACAAGTGGATAATTGCATTTCACGTGATGTAGTGAGGTTATTGTCGCTAATAAATTGGCGATTTGCTTCCAAATGGATTTTTCCTTAAATTCTTATTTGATTATTCTGTTTTTCTCTATTCTTATGTCATGAATTGAAACGTCAAATAAATTTTTGCGAATTATTGCGTTCCTTCGAAAGAAACTCTATTGAGACACTCTTCAGACTCGAATGCGGTTCTGATCAAGTTTTAATCAGGGTTTAGCCTGGATTCAATCAGGTTCTGGTCAGGGTTTCGCCAGAGTTTGAATCTATTTTAGTGAGGAATCAGTCGGGACCAGGACTCACTATGATTATGTATTCAAAATAATAGACTAATACTGAAGTTCAATAGCGATTTTGAGATTAAAAAAAACTCATGACGCCATTGTCCAACTTGATAAACAATGATGCTATTCTCACCATTTTCCAACTGGATTGAAAATCCATTGATACAAATTCTTAAGCTCTGATTTAATTGATATTACTAATGATTCTTCCAGTATTCATAGAGAAACCGATCTTCTCTTTCAAATCGCATAAGCAATATACTGGAACTCAACAACGAATAGTGCGATTCCCTCTGTATCCTGATAGCTTTAAAAGGTTATTGATATCAATTTCAAAAATCATGAACAATTCTTTTTTGATACCAATTTTCTGAGTGAGGAATTAACTTTTGGAAAAAGATCCTTCCGTAAAACGTTTGGGAAAATTGAATTTTAATCAGTGTCAATCGATAGAGCCCTTTAAAGTTCATATTCATCGAAAAATTCATGAAATTCAATAAATCCCTCATAATGAAATTTGTAGAAAAAATATGACAAAAAAAACTACATACATGTATACATACAAACAAATATTTGGACTTTTTATACCACATTCAGTTAGTCGAACACAAAAAATCAGAAACTTGAATTTTAATGCTTACAGAACTTCTATGCAGATGCAAAACCAGTTCCCGATTTTGTGATAGATTATTTTGAAGCTGGAATGAATCTAGGAAAGCTGGATTTCTATCAAATTTCCCGGCAATTGTTTTTTTGGCGCTAGAGGGCGACAAGTCAATCCTACTGCTTCAACAGTGAATATAGATTTATTCAAATAGATCTTTCTCACATCGTTCTTGATAAAATTCTCTAAAAAATCAATTCAAAATTAACGTTTGTGGTGAGTCGGTGCCCTAGGGAGGAAGTAGCCACCTAACAGCCACCTAATTAGGTGGCCACCTAAGATACCTGAAACCATTATGGATGTTAATCTATGAATTATTAATGAATTTTAGTACCTTTAATGACATTAATTTCCATTAATTAAGGAAAATAACTATTTGCGAATTTAAGAAGAAAATAAGTCAGTAGGGGGAACGCCGCCGGATGGCGGCAGTATCGACTTCTCGCCCAGGCCGATAAAGTCGGCAGCAGTGGCGGGAAAAATATTTTTCAAAACTGGTAAAGGGAAGTTCTTATGTAATTGATTATCAAATAGGTTCATATTGGCATGTTTAAAAATCAGTTTAATTCTGTATTGACCCAATTGCCGTACGTGAAAAATGTTATAGCAAATAGATATGTAGGAGGAGAATGCTGTGGGTCAAATAGGGGTGAAGAGGGTTATCAAATAATTAGATAAATAAAAGAATGGAATATAAAAAATTTGAACTTTGTGAGAAGTGGGGGGAAGGGTATGTATACGGAGGGTTGAGATTTTCACCCGTTGATGGGGGGGGGGGGGGGAATTTATATGAACATTATATATANAGAATTTATATGAACAATATATATATTTTAAATTATGTTGAAAAAACGATTGAAAATTAATTTCTAAACAACTATCTATTTATGCATTGATTTTCGAATTGAAAAATTAATTAATTCAATAAATAAATTGATTTATCCGCTCGGGTTTTTTATCTGTGGAAAAGAGACGCATATATCCGGAGGGATGAAAATTGAAGGGAGGTGAGAGGGAGGAGTCTGAGATTACATTGTTATGAAATGTACCCCTCCGGAAACATGCGCTGATTTTTTATAATTTTTTGAAAAATGAATTTCTGGAAAAATACAGGAGACTGGGGTTTTTCGGGGGGGTTGAAGACACCCCCAAATATCCGGAAGCATGAAAATTGTGGGGCGAGAGGGGGAGGGGTCTGAGATTACATTTTTATAAAATGTACCCCTCCGGAAACATGCGCTGATTTTTTATAATTTTTTGAAAAATGAATTTCTGGAAAAATACAGGAGACTGGGGTTTTTCGGGGGGGTTGAAGACACCCCCAAATATCCGGAAGCATGAAAATTGTGGGGCGAGAGGGGGAGGGGTCTGAGATTACATTTTTATAAAATGTACCCCTCCGGAAACATGCGCTGATTTTTTATAATTTTTTGAAAAATGAATTTCTGGAAAAATACAGGAGACTGGGGTTTTTCGGGGGGGTTGAAGACACCCCCAAATATCCGGAAGCATGAAAATTGTGGGGCGAGAGGGGGAGGGGTCTGAGATTACATTTTTATAAAATGTACCCCTCCGGAAACAAGCGTTGATTTTTTATTAATTAAAAAA